AGAGAACAGGTAGTAATTTCCTTTGAAGTTAGACCCCTGCCCTTTTTCATTTAACTAAATATTCAGAGAGAGAATCTTGATTTCTAACCATTCTTTTTTTTTCAAATACTTGTAGTGCTTTGAGTCCTTGTGATTCTGTTTACTAGGACATAAAATGCTTATTTTAGAAGCTCTAAATAAATTTTTTCCAATTCCTAGCTTGCTTACTTGGGTAAAATATAGCAAGTAATTAGATTGGAGTAATAGTAGTATCCTAAAAACATATGAGCTGCTGAATCAGACAACCTCTCTGTACTTTCTCTACCTATCCCAATTCCCCTTAGCAAGTTTTGACTATGTATTTTTATATATTTATATTTTTTATGTATATTTGACCATGTATTTGGAATTCATCAGCCAGGAAGTATATTTTTAGTCTCTCTTTTGTGTTAATACCTAGTAAAATAATGTGTGCTAATGCTTATGATCTTTCATAGAGAAAAAGAAATAAACACACATAGTAGACCAGGACAGTGCATAATGAAGAGTTAGCGTGTGGTAGTTAATGGGAAGACACAAAGCAGGAACGGCTTGGGAACCCAACTGGGACTTTGCTCCAGAAACAGGAAGAATGGAGGCATTCTAAGTCAGAGGGATCGTACAAGCTAAGGCAGGGATATAGGAATAAACACAAAGTAGAATAAAAATAAGAACTTTGCTGTTTGCTTGACACTTTTCATAAAAAGTGTTGGGCCACAATCAAAAATAGATTAAGTACTTATGATAGAACCTGTTACTAGAAGGCCTTAAATGACCATACTATCATTGCCTAGAACTAGACTTGCTTTGGAAGCTTTGATCAGTACCTGTCTTTTGAATGGAATTCTTTAGCATTTGAAGGGTAAAATGAGTTTATATTGGAGGAAATAAAGTTTCATTGGCCTGTCTGCTGTTTGTGTGTATTTGTTTTGCTAAGGCAGTATATTCAGAGAGTTAAATCAGTTCTTTATCTTGTAGAAGGAAGTCAGGTATATAGTTAAGAAAGCAAAATTTTTTTACTTAAAAGGAATTTCATTTCCTAATTGTGAAATTTTGGCCTGTTTGCTTAGAAATGAGAATGTTTGTGAGTGAAAGCACAGGTTTAATGTTTAAGAGTTTAGATAGCTGTTGCAGAAGCAAAATGGATTGATAACATTGCTTCCTAATCTGAGTTGCCTGAAAGAGTAAGAGAAGTCCTATACATCTCTGTGTGAAGGTTACACAGGTTGTTACCTGAAATGCTGTTTGTTTGGAAAATAAGATATGAAATCCAAATGGGGGTGGACAGAGGAGGGGAAGAAGTAGTACTGGGGCCTCTGGAAGTGTAAAGATTGGGAGTTTCTGTTGTAAGTTTTCGTACAAGATTTGAGTGGGTCAGATGACCCTCAAACTTCTGATTAGTTCTTTTACATTGTATGAATTTTTTATGTTTTTTCCTACTCATTTAAGGTACATTTTGGTTTAACAGTGTATTCTCAATAAAGCCAAAACGTACCTCTAGCTGTACTATAGGAAATCTTTTGAACAGTAGCTTATTTTCCAGTTTGTTTTCCTGGATCTTGTGTTAATAGTTGCTATTATTTATCTCATTTAAACAGTAATGCTTAGGTTGAAACTTGATTCTAGTTAATTTTATTATGATGAGTTTACCGTCTTTTCAAATGTAGTACTCCTCTAATGCATTGTTACTCTGTGATGAAGGTAAAAACAAATTTACAGCTGTTAACCACAATCTTAACCTTTCCTCAGTTTGCTTGATTTACTACAAATTAAATTCTACTATGCTTGATATAAATCATTAAGTATATAATTTAAAGCAGTTGCTGTGATCCATCTTTTAATGTTTTCTGCACTCACATCCAAATGTGGAACTCCAACTCTGAAAAACAGTGAAATGACTAGAAAACTGCCCTTCTGGAGTCCTAAGTGAGCGTTCATTTCAATGTGGGTATATGACAGCAGGGTCCTCTCAGCTCTAAATGGGAGATGCAGACGTTGCATTCAGGATGGAATGTTTGCTTCTTGACTTGTCTGCCTGATTTAAATATTCATACTTCACCAGAAGGAAGAAGCTGCTGACTTCTAAAAGTGGGTCAGTTTTTTTTTGTTTAATGGCCCTTTTGGCACTTTGTAACGTGTTAATACTGCCTTAGAGATGGAGAACAGTTTGGCAGAGCTCATCTTTATCACTTCAGGGGCCAAAGCTTCACTAGGCCAGTGGAAGGAGAGGCATTGCAGATATTAATAACTAATAGACTGTGATATGGGCTTTATTTGCCATTCTGTTTGCTTTTCTAGAGATAGAATGTAGTATGTTAACCAGAAAGGATTAATTTGAGAAAAACCTAGTATTGATAAAGGTGATGATGTTTTTAAACAGAAGTAACCTGTATCTTCAGTTGCATGGTGTTTCTGAACAGATTCCACAATTGCATAAATTTGTTTTATTTTTCTATTTGGACACGATAACTTTCAGAAGAAGTCCTTGGATACAATGGGATCATTGTTAGGTTGTCCATCTTATTCCCACATCATTTATTTCTGCTTAATTATTATTTAAAGTGTACTTTACATTGATTGAATTTCTTACATCTAAGGGAGCCAAATGGCATTTAAATATAAATGCCATCTTTTCATCCTCACAAAATTAAAATTTTAAATATCTTTTATGGAAAGGAGGAGTAAGATAGTAGGATGAGAAAGGAAGAAGAGTTAGAGTAATATTTGGAAGTGTAGATGGAGAGAGATCTGGAGATCCTGATTACCACGTGTATTAGTTCATTCAGGCTGCTATAACAAAATACCTTAGACTGGACCATTTATAAATAGCAGAAAGGTATTGCTTACAACTCTGAAGGCTGGGATTTCCACATTCAAGGCATCAGCAGATTTTGTGAAGGCCTGCTCTCTGCTTCATAGATAGCACCTTCTTGCTGTGAGGGCAGAGAAAGCAGGTGCTATCTATGGCAGAAGGGGAAAAGCAAGCTTCCATAGGCCTCTTTTATAAGGGCACTAATCCCATTCATGAAGGAGGGCCCTCATGACCTAATGTCCTCCTAAAGACCTCATGTCTTCATATGATTGCTCTGGGGATTAGATTTCAACATATGCATTTTGAGTGGACACAAACATTCAGATCATGGCACTGTGCCCTAGTCATAGGACATAGATGAGATTGAGAGAGTTCAGGTTGCTTGTTCAGGAGAAATGCTATACATTTCACCAATCTCCTTCTTTAGTTTTCTAGGATTTATAAAAACCATTCAGTGATTTTAGTCCAGTCTCATGACTTGTCCGTAGCCTGTCCTGTACCTCGGCATAGACCAGCTCAAGTGGTGATGAACTTTTCGGAGCCTTACTGTCACACATACTAATATGCTTCTTCTAGGATCTTCTTGGTTATTGTCAAATTCTAGCTCCCAGTTTAAAATAGCCAAAGACCTGTCCAGCAATCTTAAAGTTTGCTTTGAAGTATTCATAAAAGTCTGGAGCCCTGTTGAGAATATGTGTGTCATGTGGCTTTCCCACAGGCCCAAGATGTCCTTGCTTTTCTCAAAATGATATTTATTAAGTTGCCTGGCACCCTAAAAAATAACCAAGATATTATTGAACTGGTGCTTCTGAGGAATTACTTATTCAACTTCCTGTAGACAATGATTGTGTTCCAAAAGATGTTTTGTGAATTTCAATCATATTAAATATAGAAGGGAAATTGCCTTTTTTTTTGGGGGAGGAGATGGAGTCTCACCCTGTTGCCATCTTGGCTCACTGCAACTTCCACCTCCCAGGCTCAAAGAATTCTCCTGCCTCAGCCTCCTGAATAGCTGGGATTACAGGTGCCTGCCATCATGCCCAGCTAAATTTTGTATTTTTAGTAGAGACAGGGTTTCACCATGTTGGCCAGGCTGGTCTCGAACTCCTGACCTCATGATTCGCTTGCCTCCCAAAGTGCTGGGACTATAGACATGAGCTACCATGCCTAGCCATTTTTAACAGTTAAGCAGACATACAGGATTTTAAAAATACAGGAGGTCAGTCCTCTCCTCAGGATCTCGTAGTGTAAAATTTTTGAGGAATTCTGAGCTCTGTCTTTAATATGAGGCACAGAATCCGTTTGTAACAGAAATGCCTTCTAGTGCATTATTTAAGGGTTAAATGTAATAACGTCATCTGGAGTACTTTCAGATGGTTTATGGGAGAAAAAAAGATGTATGATGGTTCAGGGAGCATGGAAGGATTTATAGGTATCTGATTTTATCAAAGGGATCACTGTAATATTCTTTGAACTTTTATGTATGTTTGAAATTTTACAAAATAAAAAGTCTTAAATGTTTTGTTTATTTTAAATCTGGGTATTCATGTATGGGGTATGCTTATAAAGCAAAAAATTGGGTAGGACCTGTACCTTTGGAATCCTGATATGCATACATCACTTAATAAATCAGACTACCCCAGAAAGAATCAGGTTATTTTGGCCTGGCTATAATTGAAACCAAGGTGAAGAGACTTCTGACTTTCAGATTACTCCTTGGTTTCCCAATATAAATTTGATTCATGGCTAAAAAATAATCAGTTTTCATTGTCTTTAGTAGTGTGCAACAAAAAATGTTATTACTTGGAAGAAGTATGCAGAATGCCCAAATCATGGTTGACATAGTAATTTCCATGAACATCCTAAATGTTTCTAAGATCTCATTTGTTAATGACTTATCATTTCCATATTCCTTACTTTTTATCTTTTCTAGTGACATATTACTGTATATTCTAAAAAGCATTTATGTGTATTGAGAAAATTCAGTTATAAAAAATGTGACTATTTCTGCTGTATTTGAAACTGTGGTGGTGGGCTATAGGGAAGAGAAAATAAGGTGGATTTTTATACATGTTTAAAAACAGAGAAAGAAGTCCATATATCTAGTGCTTGCCTTATTATATTCACCATGAAAAGTCAGTGAGGGCGACCTATTTACTGTACAGGCATGTTCAAATCTAGTGCATTGACAAAGGATGGAGGCAACCTGGGAAACTTACTCTGGCTAGATCAAGAACCTTAATTGTGTGTGTGTGTGAGTGAGAGAGAGAGAATGTGTGTGTGTGTGTGTGTGTGTGTGTGTGTGTGTGTGTAAGAGGGAGAGAGAGAGAGAGAGAAAGAGGGACCTGGGAAACTTACTCTGGCTAGATCAAGAACCTTAATTGTGTGTATGTGTGTGTGTGTATGTGCGTGTGTGTGTGTGTGTGTGAGAGAGAGAGAGAGGCCTGGGAAATTTACTCTGGCTAGATCAAGAACCTTGATTGTGTGTGTGTGTGTGTGTGTGTGTGTGTGAGAGAGAGAGAGAGAGAGAGAGAGTGAGAGAGAGACCTAGGAAACTTACTCTGGCTAGATCAAGAACCTTAATTGTGTGTGTATGTGTGTCTGTGTGACCTGGGAAACTAACACTCTGGCTAGATCAACAACCTTAATTGTGTGTGTGTGTGTGTGTGTGTGTGTGTGTGTGTGTGTGTGTGTGTGGTCCTCCTGTCAGTGTAGTTCTAAGGGTAAAATCGATTTATATTTAACCAAAGAGGAAAGGGGGAGCTATTCCCGGGTTTTTGCTATTTAAATAATCAATTCATGAGAAAGAATCAGCGCTATGAGAAAAAATTGCAGTGATGTTTAAATTTGAACATATTCAGACTCCTCTGCTCTCCAACATAGTATGCAATTTCATGTGAGATGCTTCAGGATGAGCAAGGGTTTGTTACCACAGGACCTTTTAATACAGTCCTTCAGCACATACTTTTATTTTTAGTGCACTAGATTGTATTAGTTGCTAAACCCTAATTTTCTAATGTACCGCAATAATGAGTAATCCACTGTTTTACTCTCAGAGTCATTTTAGATTATACAAGGGCTACAGAGCCCCAAGCCCTCACCCCTCCCCACTTTTTAAATATCAGTATTCAGACATTTTCTCTTCCACTTAGATTGCTAAGTTATTTTGGAATTAAAGAATACTAAAAAAACTTTATTGTATGTGCCAAATAATATTTTTCTTTGTTTATAACTACCAGTAGTATCATCACTGTAGTGTAGGTATTTCTTTCCACCACTGCCCCACCCTGCCACCATCCTTCCTCTGTTCTCCACTGAGGTGGGACCATTATGTTTAATGAAACTCTACTTCCTATGTGACTTGTATTATGTTCTAACCACTAAAGTTTAAGAGTAGAGTGAAAAGTCACTTGGGATTACTGCCAGAGGTTGTTCAGAAGAAACCACATCTAGTAACCGTGTTATATCTGGCATAGTTCATACTCAGAAGCCAGCACAAAAAAATTTGGAAGGTTACATTCTTCTACTGGAACATTTTCAGTTACATGTGCTTTAGTCTTATAAAAGTCCTAATCTCTTTTTCCCAAAAATGCTGTTTGTATCAAATAAGAATAAACTCATTTGAGAGTTTTAAAAATAGATGTATTACTTGGAAGTCTTGGGAAGATGCAGAAAGCTAAACAGATTGATAAGTACTCAGTATTTTTCATTCATGCAGATATTTTTAATCTTAGGGAAATTTTAAAATTATTTCCTCTGACTTTAGTCAAGGACTCTAGAAAGCTGCAGATTGTGCAGTTTTGACTAAGATCCTGATAGTGATCTGTAATTTTAGTTTGTTCTTTATAATATTGACCTTTTGTCTTTACTACCAAGAAGGGTGGAGTGTAATATCAAACTTAATTCAGTCTCTGTAGATCTAAAATTGAGCCTATGCCTCTCCTGATTTTTAAGATATTATTGATTCATAGGAGGAATATGACTGTTAGGGTATAGAACTCTAGGTTTAAAGTAGAATTCTCCATGCTGATTCCTGCATGTTTCCTGAGAATTAATATTATAGTAAAAATCATGGTAAACTACTTCAAGGTGGACCCTCTACTTACCTGACTATTCTCAGGCTTGCCCATATATTTACTATGCCTGGGACCAAGACTTATATACTTTTTACAGCCATACATATATTGATTTAGCTAAACCCTTATTTGTAACTATAAGCAGACAAGAAAAAATAACCAGTTCTATGAAGAGAATCAGCAGATTGAAAGTGGGGAATGAAGCTGAGTAATCGAAACAAATTCTCCACCCCACCTATACTAAAATAGCGAATGCATGAAAACAGGAGATAACTTTTAAATGTTTCATTAGTATTCTCAGTAAGATTTGGAAGCATATTATTTCATCAGTAAAACAAAAATAGGCTACTCTCATTACCTTCAGAATAAAAGTCAAGTCTTCAGAGTTGTCTGTCAGACCCCACAACCCATCCTTCTTCCCTACTTTTATCCAGCCCACTCATTCTACTCCAGTAATTTAGGGCTCATTGCTGTTCTCTGTTCATGTCAAGCCTGCTCCCACCTTAGGTCTTTATAACACTGTTTTCTCTGCTTGGAAAGCTCTTTGCTAGTGCTATGGTTTGAATATGTCCCCCAAGTTTCATGTGTTGGAAATTTAATCCCCAATGTGGCAGCATTGAAAGAGGGGAGAGCCCTTATGATTCAATCATCTCTTAAAGACCCCATTTAAGAGGTGATTGAATCACCTCGGGAATGGATTCATCAATGCATGGATTCATGGGTTTTCATGGAAGTGGAACTAGTGGCTTTATAAGAAGAGGAAGAGAGACCTGAGCAAGTATGCTAGCATGCTTAGCCACCTCACTATGTGGTACCCTGTGCTGCCTTGGGACTTTGTAAACAGAGTCCTCACAAGCAACAAGGCTCTCACCAGATATGACCCCTCCCCCTTGGACTTCTCAGCCTCCATACCTGTAAGAAATAAATTCCTTTTCTTTATAAATTACCTAGTTTCAGGTATTATGTCATAAACAACAATAAACTAATAAAGATAATCACACAGCTGACTACTTTACCTCCTTCAAGAGCCTAGAACAGTATGTAGCGTATGGAGGTGCTCAATAAATAGTTATTGAAAGAATGAAATAGGCCAAGCCTGGTGGCTCACACCTATAATCCCAGCACTTTGGGAGGCCAAGTCGGGCGGACCACCTGAGTTCAGGAGTTCAAGACCAGCGTGGCCAACATGGTGAAACCCTGTATCTACTAAAAATACAAAAATTAGCCAGGTGTGGTGGCACACACCTATAATTCCAGCTACTTGAGGCAGGAGAATTGCTTGAACCTGGGAGGCGGAAGTTGCAGTGAGCTGAGATTGCACCTCTGTACTCCAGCCTGGGTGACAAACAAAACTCTGTCTCAAAACAAAAAGAAAGAGAGAGAGAGAGAGAGAGAGGGAAAGAAGGAAGGAAAGAAAAGAATTTACAAGTAAAGTCAATAGAGGAGGTGGATAACAAAGTGGACTCTGCAAGAAGATGAATTAGAAGAAACTTAAGAAATTCTCCTATAATACAGCACATGTCAAAGAGTTGGAAAATATGGTGGAGAAAATAAACATGGAGACTACATTTAAGATATTTAATATTTGTATAATAGGAGCTTCAAAAGAAAAGTGATCATGAAAGGAATTTCAGAAGAAAAAAATTCTGAGCTGAAAGCCTCAGATCTTGAGATAAAGCTCTTACTAAGCATCAAGCAAGATAATTTGGAGGAAAAAAGATTCATCCTGTTGCTAAAATTTTCACATATTGTTCAAGTTCTCAGGTAAAGAGAAGAATCCCACAAACTTCTCAATAATAAACAGCAACCACCAAAAAAGTTACTTACAAAAGGATAAGAATCAGATAAGCACTCCTTTTTTTTTTCTTTTCTTTCTGAGAAGGAGTTTCATTCTTGTCGCCCTGGCTGGAGTGCGGTGGAGTGATTTCCGCTCACCGCATCCTCCGCCTCCTGGGTTCAAGCAATTCTGCCTCAGCCTCCCGAGTAGCTGGGAGTGCAGGCATGCACCACCACGCCCGGCTAATTTTGTATTTTTAGTAGAGACGGGGTTTCTTCATGTTGGTCAGGCTGGTCTTGAACTCCTGACCTCAGATGATCCGCCCGCCTTGGCCTCCCAAACTGCTGGGATTACAGGCGTGAGCCACTGCACCTGACCAAGCACTCCATTTTTTTATCAATCGGTCGGAATGCTAGAAGATAATGGAATTTCATAGAATTCTGAGGGCACAGGATTGTGACAATAGAATTTTATGCTTAGAAAAGGCAAAGAAAGATATATGTGGACTCACAAAATATACTATACATATAGCCTTTCTGAAAAATTTTTGGTAGGGATGTGTACCGAATTAGTCAGAATTAAAGAATCAGTAAAATAAACAAAACCAAAAAATGATTCTTTAAAAAGAAAATTAACAAAATTAACAAACTATTAGCTATGCTGACCAAGGGAAAGAAGATTATTCTTCTTCTAGCTAGTACAATAACATAGGGAAAGAAAATGAAAAATAGGGGCCAGGTGCAGTGGCTTTTGCCTGTAATCCCAACACTTTGGGAAGCTAAGGTAAGAGGATTGCTTGAGGCTAGGAGTTCAAGACCAGCCTGGACAACATGGCAAGACCCCCATCTCTACAAAAAAATTTTTCAAAACATGAAAAACACTGTTGGAATAACAGATGTATATCCTCATTATTTGCAGATGACTTAATTGTCTACCTAGAGAAACTAGGAAAATCCATGACTTATTACAAATAATAATAGTAAGGTATCCATATACAAGGTAAAATCAAAACCAGGAACTTTCCTTTATGTCAGTAGTACTTCATGAGGAAATAACAATGGGAAAAATTGTCTAGTCACAAAAGCAAGAAACCTTTTAAAAGCTAGAAATAAACTTGACAAGAAATGTATACCTGTACCTTTACATTTACTTAGGGACACAAAAAGAGTTTAAATAAATGAAGATCATTCATACCTTCTTTCTAGGTGGGGAGATCATTTTAAAGAAGTTAATTCTCCTGAAATCTATAAATTTACTGTAATTCTCTTCAAAATTCCAGTGAATATTTTGGGGAATTTGACAGATTGAGTCTAAAGTTTACCCAGATGTAGCCAAGGAAACTTTAAAAAAGACTTAAGGAGAATGCTACATTTCTGGCCCAGCTGCCCACTGAACAACTTCACTTCAGTGTCCTACCGGCATACTGGGCATCTTAAACTCTTTGTCCCAAACTGTACTCATTATTTTCTCTCCAGTGTTTCCAGTGATGTTCATTATGACTGTATATTTTACCACAGTCTACTACAATAATAAAGCTAGAATCTTAAACATCGTTGTTGACTCTGAAAGCCTTCCTTGATTCTTCCTTTTCACTCATCTCTGAAATTCAGTTACCATGTTCCTCCAGTCTTCTTCTTAGGTATCTTTTAAAACCTATGTTCTTTCCATAGGCACTACTTTAGCCCATGCCATTTTTATCTCTTGCCTGGCGTATTTAAAGAGTTTCTTTTGAATCTCCTTGCTTCCATTCCAGCCTTCTTCTTCCCTTCTCTTTACTGTAGCTAGAGAGTGAATCTTCAAAAATGCAAATTTAAATGGTTGCTTAAAACCTCTCATTGTCTTCTCTT